TTTTTCCCCCCCCGCCCCCCACAGCCGCCTTTTCATTTAGAACATACCTCAATGGGTTACCTGTATGTTTCAGGCCAGCTAGTGACAGCGCTGGCAAACTGCTATTTCTTTTTCATAGGGGTATGTATGTGCCCTCGTGTGTCAAATTATCACCACCTTGTGGAAGTCATGTTCCAATTTGATTTATCCAAAACTTTATCTAAATCCCTAGATCATAGACATGAAGAGGAAACGCCCGAAGCTGCAGACGTTGCTGATTGATGGATATTATGAGATTCTTTTGTAAGTAGTATGATTGATTTTCCAGATGTAGTTTAAATTAAAGGTACCCTCTGTGGCAGTGGTGCCAGAATGAGTTTTGAAGTGGGGGAGGACATTCAGCTTTGGATGAAGTAATACGCTAGTGAACTTTTTCATGTCAGCTGTTTTTATGTCCCCAAGTGCATGGGATTAGCATAAAGTGTACATGTTTGTGAAGGGGAGACTCACGGGTACCCATAGAACCCATTCAGTTATCTTAAGGTCAGAGGTCAAACAATACCTTTGAAAACAGCCATGCCAGTTTTTCCATCACCAACATTTAATCCCATTCTCGACAAACTAGCATGACATGGTTGGTACCAATGGATGCACTAGGCCTTCTAGTTTTATGTGATACCAGTACCTTCACTTCTAGCTTTAAAACTGAGCCCACTACAGCCTCCAAAAGACAGTTGTGTTGGATTATCAATTAATCAATTAATCAATCAATCAATCAATGACAAAAATGTTTATAAATTTTTAAAGGCACTTAATCTTAAATACTGCTATTAAAAAAACCTCACTCACAGAGTCAGATAATCTGAGGAGGAATCCTTCTTGTTTTTGTATGCATGCTTTATTAGTAAAATATTAGACAAACCCCAGCATAGCGTTGTGTTTTAATGTAAACACTTTCATTGTTAGAATCTACAATCATAAAGTTAGGACTTCTCTGCTGTTGATAGTTTTTTGCAGGCTGTCCTCTTCCTGGTCTCAGCTGGGCTGTATCTGAGCGGGCAGCAGGAGTACCTGGGCTTCCTAGTACTGTGTCTTGCTCTCAGCTGGGTGAACCTGCTCTACTTCTGCAGGGGCGACATACACATGGGCATCTACAGCATCATGATACAAAAGGTAGTCCACTACATCAGGTCACACTACACCACAGAGAACATCACAGTGAACTGATTCCTGAAGCCTTTTGTCTCTGTCTTCTTTGTAGATGATCCTCAGTGATATCCTGCGCTTTCTTTTTGTCTATGCCGTCTTCCTTTTTGGATTTTCAGCAGGTATGTTTCCTCTCTGAAAATATTCGTTCAATAAGACATCTGCTGCTCTCATAGGTACAATTTTTAAGATCGATTACTTTCCTGATCAAAGAAATGACATTTTGAAATATAAATGTGTAATAACATTGCTATTATACCATGAATGGAGGTACTGACTGTAATCTGCTTCCTATCTCCTGTCACAGCGGTGGTCACCCTGCTCATAGAGCCTCCTGTAAAAAACACCACTCGAAATCCGGGGACAGGGCGTCTCTGGGGTCCCCTCGATCCTGATGAGAAATGTGTAAAACCCACCTTCAGACAAATCTCTTACACCACACTGGAGCTCTTCAAGTTCACTATCGGCATGGGTGACATTGAGTTCACCGAGCACTACCAGTACAAGGAGGTCTTCTACATTCTCCTCATCGGCTACATCATTCTCACATACATCCTGCTGCTCAACATGCTCATCGCCCTCATGAACCGCACTGTGGAGAAGGCTGCCATGGAGAGCACCTGTATCTGGAAGCTACAGGTGAGGCATCCCGAAGGTGCTCTGTGGTTGAGGGAATATCTATTCAAGGTAGCTGTGGTTTAATGAAGTGCTGTGACTGTTTTCAGAGGGCCATCACCATCCTGGACATGGAGAAAAGGCTGTCGAAGTGTCTGAGAAAGAAGATTCGCTGTGGGGTGGAGATCAACCTCAGCACTACACTTGGTGCTGACCATCGCCGGTGTTTCAGGTTTGTTTCTTTCAGTTCAGTGACAATTCCATCAGTTTGACATGTTGTGAAAGCCTCCATCAATAGCTGTATGTTAACGTCCTGGATGACGTGAGACGTATAAATGTCTCTGCTCCATCATAGATAAGGACCCACTATAGATATTGTTGGTCAGTCTGCCGTCTGGTCCACCCCTTTGGTCCAGACTGAAATAAAATTGAATTATTGAAATTTGGTCCACACATTCATGTTCTCCTCTGAAGGAACTGTAACAACTTTGATGATCCATTAACTTCAGATCAAACCTTTTTTTTTATTTGTTTAACATTTAATGATCCAGTGTGTAACATTTAGGAGAATCTACTGGTATATAATATAGCTACGAATATTATATTCATCTGTATATTGTTTTCATCTGTGTATCATCTGAAAATAAGAATCGTTGTGTTTTTGTTACGTTAGGATGAGCTTTATCCTTCTTCTCCTCTTCTATGGAGGCAGCTGTGTTAAACTGCCATGTTCCTACAGTAGCTCAGAACAGACAACACAGGCTCTAGACAGGGCCTTTTGCACATTTCACAGCCACCGTAGTTCCTCCTTCATGCTTGAAAGTGGAGGGAGAAGGGTGAGGGAGCTGCAGTCTGCAACTACATCTGCTAGATGCCAGTAAATCCTACACACTGGACCTTTATTTTAAAGAACCAAGCTGTGGTATTTTCTTTGAAACAACAAAAGCCATGTTTCCATCCAGTGTTACTCACTACAAGGCATTATGTGTATTCATGAGGTCAAACAAATGTTTGCAAAGGTAAGTTTTTAAGTATTTTCAGCATACATCCATGTTTACTTGCTTACAGTCTTCTTCTTCCCTCTGTTTATTGACATAAAGCAGCATATCGTACCATGTTACCACTACAGGTAGATCAGTGGAACGGCTAAAAACCGTTGGCAGGAGTGTGTACCATGTAATCCAGCCCCAGAGCACTTATAGAGGTCAAAAACTGTACAGGAAACCTTTTAATACAGCCTCATTGGACACAAAGCAAAGCAGGGGAAGAGTAGTATTTAAGCATAATGATATTAGTTGGTTTCTGGGACTCAAAATATAGTGAAGCTGATGTGTGCATGTGCTTAAGAGCACAGGGCTCCATAGCAGATTAATCCGGCCCTGGATAAGGACCGGAGGAAAGAGCATGTTTGCTAGGTTTATGGTGGTTGGATAATTCCCCTGTAGTTCTTAGTGACAAGAAAATGCATATTTTATGATTGGCTATACTATTCATATGTTTACTGCTCAGCAGTCGTCCTGCATTGTGTTCAATTGTGCTGCATAATCTGCATGTGTGGCCACTATTCAAGTTTTGTTGTGTTTGTATCAGGTTTCCTGGTGATAGGAAGAATGCTGAGAGATACAGTACTGAAGTTGTCATCTAATCTACATTTTGGCTGGTATGACCAGTTCCTAGATTTGAGATTTTAAATTTAGTCTTAACAATGTTACATTAAGATTTTCTTTTACATGTCAATTCTCAGATTGAGGAGTTAAAAAATCTAATGCCCAAACTCTTCCACCTCTAAAAAGGCAGGTTTAGCAAGTAATAACAGTATAGCAGAAACAAAGGTTTTAGGCCTGAAGATTTAACAAAAGATGCAGCTGTGTGAGCAGGATCGATTGATGTGCAGTTCACTAATTTGCTTTCTCTGACAGCTGATTGATGCGCCACACAGCAGACAGTAATTGGAGCATGTGTCCTCTTGTTGTCTCAGAGTGGAGGAAGTCAACTGGAACAAATGGAACATCAACCTGGGCAAAATCAATGAGGAACCAGGGTGCTGGGATCGTGTCCAACAGCCTGCCTCAGACACCCTGCCAAACAGACAAAACAGAGGTACAGAAACATGAATGCAGACTCAAAGTTTCTAAAATAGACAATGTTTTAGGCATTTCTCTGTGACAAGAAAGTAATTCACATCTAGTAACATTTCCCTCTTTTGTCCACAGGGAGGAGCTGGAGAGCCTTAATCATGGCGGGCAGTCAGCGGCGGTGGGAGACACATCAGTCCACAGAGATGAATCCTCTGAACACCACACCGGTCTAGAGAGCTTCACTCCGGCTGCTCAGCCTGACTGACCTGAGCAACGTTAGTTCCCCAAGAAATTTAACTGCCAAATGTGTGCACTGACTCTCTGACTGATACTCCCATCTGATGTAAGATGGATTTTAAATTTAGTCTCTGAGGCAATATTTTACTGAGATGAGCATGGTTGAGGAAAATATTGTAGATATTTGTTCACCTGACTAACATAATGGTGTAAAAAAAAATGTAGAATTTATATCAAAGCTGAATGCTGCATCAAAAGTTTATTGCCAAGTAAATCATGCATTTGAAATACATTAAACATTTCATCCAAAGGCTTCTGCGCATGCTGCTTCTGCCACCACCTGAACAGGATGCACATCCTCTCTGCACAAAGGCCATAACCTGCTGGCACCACTGGCATCGCTCAAAATCCTTCATGGAGTAATACTGATCACGAAGGTGCTGATCCTGCCCTCCCGCTGTGTGCCCTTTATACCGGTCCCATTTTCATCACAGCCAGACAAGCTAAATCTTCTGCAGCCAGATAGTCCTGCGGATTTCACAGCTGGCTTTGTCTACTCTACTTCCTGTTTGGCAGAGGGATGCTCAAATAAATGGCATGAAAGCACAGCAATTGGTGCAACAATGACCACCTTACTGTAGCTGTTGCAGTTACAAATTACAGTATGTAGCTTAGACGGGCCCTCTGAACCAGACAGTCAGTTGTAAGGCTGATTATGTAAGAAACAAATCTATGTTTAGTAACATAACTATTGTCATCCTGTCTGACGGTCCAAATATGTTACTGTATTGCTCAAAGACTGAGCTCTGTTGTCAGAGTCCTTTTAAATTAATGCAGCAGATTATCCAAACAGCAGTTCAGACCAATTTCAAAGCATAAATTAGAACTTTATTTTATTATTACAATATTACAAAAAAGAGTAGCACAACTCTCACACTCTTGCCTCTTATCTGTCGTACAGAATGACACAAAAGAAAGGCTTATGGACCTTCTTCCATTTCACAGCAATAGTACAAGAAACAAAGAAGAAAATCAAATTTAAATAACAAGCAAATCAAGTATTATAAATAGTCACAACTGCAAACTGAAGCTTTGAAACTTGGAAAAAAATGTTACAGCTCAGTAACTACACATTGCTAAAATATATAATTACAAAATATTACTCCTTTACTTGCTTTCCATAATAAAGAATCTCTAAGGAATTGCTCTATTTAACAAAACTTCATTAAAATAAAAAGACCAGAAAAAAAGAAAGCAAAAATTGCTGTTTCTGTGTATCCTTACCATCTTCTTTCTCCTTATTATTTGGGGTTTTCATTAAAACCATGCTCATTTTCAAGGGAAGTCCAAGGACCAAACACTTAAGGCTTTTTAAGGGCTGTTAGGGAGTTAGGTGAACAAAACATGGGCGTCATTGTGTTTATACACGCATACACACGCACGCACGCACACACACACACACGCACGCACGCACGCACACATACACACACTTAACTCTACTCACGTCAGCAGGCAACATTCACACACAATCATTAAACTTTAAAGTTACAGTAGTCTAGTAGGTAAGCCAGTGTACAATAAAATAAACAATGCATTTGCTGTTTCACTTTAAACTTAAAAGTCAGTTTTTGTTTACCTCCAGGTGATCTTGCAAGTGATCAATTTGGTCTTTTCAAGCAGACTTCACATCAGAATCAGTAGCAACTACACATAACTTAATTCACTTAAGTTCCTGCTGTCAGGATCAAAACTCTGGTTAGGCTCGTAGTTTGATTCTACATGACATTAGTAACTATTATTTCTTCTACTCCAGAGTTTTGTCCTCATAACTAACTAACCCCCTCAATACCTGCAAAACAAATAATCTCAACATTCAAGTAATACATTTGTCATGGTTACAAAAAAGATCTGAAAAGGAAACAAACATAAAATGGCACAACTTCATAACAGTGTGTCCTTGTTAACCTGACTTTGGCCATTTTAAGGTATGAGAGTTAATCTTTCATGACTTTTTCTGCACTAAACATTTCACAATCTTGTTGCCAAACCTTCCTGGCATTGACAAAAAGTTTTTTTTTTTTTTTTAAACACCTGAATTCATTGCAGCATTTTCAGCAGGACGGAGCATCATCTTTTCAACATGTTTGCTCCCTGCTGGATCTTTACTATGTACAAACAACCTGATTACATGCTTCCTTAACTGACAGAGAGGAATCAATTTTGAATAATCCTACTATACAAATAAATAATTACATTTCAAAAGAATAAAACCTGTGTACATGTGCATACAGCAAGCTTTTCCAGCTGTACTTTGCTGTTGTCTCCAGTGTCTGATGGCTTTGCACTGACACAACATTGTTACTCTCTCTTCTGTCCTCAAATGATTGTGTTTAATCTTGATGTTACTAGGATATTTGAGCATTAACACCAAGGTCTAGTCTAATAAAACTAGTTGCAGCCAAAAATTCCTGACATGACCCTGTAAAAAAAACATCCATCCGTAGATGCTGATTTTTCAGTGAGGGATCTATCTGTTTTTCTTCTTTCTTACATGCATAAGAAAACTTAACCGATAGTTCTGAAGTATAAATAACACAGGATCTGTTTAGATCCAGGCACACAGATAGTACAATAGAGGAAGAAGGTGGGAATGACACACAGTACAGATGTGTATACACACGCACATGAAAAAGTTCCCTAAAGTGCCAGGTAAAAGCACTCATTAACAAAAATAAAAGCAGCAATTGATCACTTGCAAGATTTAAAAAAACAGAAGAAAAAAAAAAAACTACTGTTCTTCATTAAATATATTAATTTACCCTCTTTAACATTAGCGGTCATTTGTTTAAGTTATCAATTTAATTTTATTCATGTGTTTCCTTTCTTAAGACTAAACAAAGGGGTTTTGATAACTGTTGTGTAGACAAGGCCATAGCTTATCTGTACCCTGGGTGCTGGATGAGAGCGGTTCTGCCATCCCCAACCTCTGGACCTACCCTGCTCAGAGGAGGCCTGTGCATCTTGCCCATCAACCCTAGATTCTGATCGCGGAAATAGGGCGTCTGGAAGTCCCCACCCAAGTAATCTGCCGTTTGCATCAGATTAGTCTGGGCGGAGGAGGAGGTGGAGGAGCTTGTTCCTAGCCTGTAATGGGGAGCCCCAGGGGGCCCACAGTCTAGCGTGGTGCATCCCCCTGGGCCTGCACCGTGGAATGGCATGGCTATGTCCTGAGACCCGGAGCTGTCACTGTTGGGTGTGGGTAGGATGCTGCTGTTCCAAATGTGGGACTGGAAGTAGTGACCATTAGTGTAGTGGGCCATGGGACCGGGCATGCCGTTGTTGTTGACAGGAGGAGAGGGGGTGGGCCTCTCTACAGGAGGTTTCAGTGTGTAAGGCTGACCCACACACACCTCTGCAGGGTAGCCCATGCCCTTGAAATGGAAGGCGGGGTCCCTGGAAGGCTGCTTGCAGAGGTGGGTCCCACCGTTTTGAATGTGGGGTACATGAGCCAACTGGTGCTGATTCCAAGAGCGCATCTTCTGATGCTGTGTGTTATGTTGTAGCTGTTGTTGCTGCTGATTCTGTTGTGGATGCAGATGCTGCAGGTGGTGCTGCTGCTTGAGATCCGTGTGGTTGGAAGGCAAGTGGTTCATAGCAGCCACACTTGGGGGTGGGTGAGCTCCCACCAGGGCGGTGGCTTTCTCTTGAGGGCCAATAATGCAGTTGGGCGGGGGGAAGCCTGGGGTGGCAGGGTTGCTGTGCATGGACACCCTGGAGCAGGCGCTGATAAGCAGGTTGCGACTGATGGGGCTGGGGTTGGCGATCTGGCCCTCACACATGGAGGTGGCTCCTGCACCTTGGGCCCGAGCTTGGCAGAACTGGTTGATCTGATGCACAATGGTGCTCAGGTCGGCCTGGTGGCCCTGGTGCAGCCCAGCAGCCATGGAGAGTGGAATGGTTGAGGTAGAGACGGTAACATTAGGCGGAGCGTCGCCATCTGGCAGCTTTCTGCTCCCCTGCAGGCCAGGTGGCGGCTGCTGCTGAAGGTGCTGCTGCTGAAGCATGACGGTAGGGGGCCCCTGTGGGTGGCCAAGGGCTGGGTGCTGAGACAGAGTCTGGAGTCTGGGTGGGCCCTGAGGGTGCTGGGCCATGGGGGGATGGTGTCTGAGGCTCTGAGTGTGACCCTGCTGCTGAGGAAGGGGCATCTGTAGAGTCTGAGGCGGGTCCTGTGGTTGAAGGGGTAAGCTCTGCTGGAGCCGAGGAAGGTTCGGCAGAGGTGGGTGGTGGTTTAAAGTGCTGGTCGAAGCCACTTGGTAGTGTCCGGTGGGATGGTTCATGATGACGTCAGGGTGCAAGCGAGCCCGGCTGCCGTCAAAATCTTTCAGGATGCCTTTGACCGTGGGCACCTTGACGACGGCGAGGAGGCCTGTCTTGGCACTGGCCTGAGCGGAAGGATAAGGGCTGTAGCGCTGGCCTGACGTATCCAGCCCGTTGACTGTGCGCCGCACGTGGTTTCGCTGGGGGACCTTGACGCTGTTGGGGAAGATCTTGATGGTGAGGGGGTTGTTGGCAACTTTCTTAGCATATGCATCCAATTCTGCAGGGGTTGGAAACGGAGCGGATCTCATCCTTTGTGTGGTGTCCCCTGGGGTGGAGGACAGGACAGGTCAGAGGTGAGACAGGGAGAAAGCAAGAAGAAACAGAATTTGGGGGGACAAAAAGAGAGGGGAGAAAGGCACAAGAGACAGAAAACTTAATCCAGGTGGAAGTGTATATGGCACAAAAGAGCACATCAATTGTAATCTGAGCAGCTGAGAGGAACCTGATTTGGATAGTGCTCTCATATTCCATACCATGCCGTTTTTCTCCTAAAACCCTCTCAGCTCTCATCTCATGGGGACAAAGACATTTCCAATCTCATTCTCAGCTGAATTACTGCGGCTGACACATTCCCAGTCTAAAATCCAATTTTGTGGTGGCATCTGTGACTTTGAGGTCAGGAGCTTTTAGTGGCCTTAACTGACGTTGCATTCGGGCAAACAATAAGAATGCGTCTGAGGGGGGGGGCTTTGCTGCTTGCTACTGAATCACAAACTAAACAAAGAATGAGCTAGGCAGTGATGGTCCCCTGTGGCTGCTTTGGGGGGGGAATGAAAGAAAAAGATAGACGCAGAGAGCAGAGCTCCATGACAGCAGACAAGTAATCAGACACAGCAGTAGCGTCTCTGATCTGCGGGAACACCTCCCAGGCCTCAGCTCGCAGACATTTGTTACACCTGCTAAGCACCGTGGCTAAATTTAACAATACTGAAGTGACAACGTGAACATGATTATGTGTTTGTGCATGTATGAGCATGAGGGTGTGTTCCTGTTTAAAATGTGCGGCAGGATCATGCAGGTGTTGGCTAATATGTCAGTGTCTTGTACATAATGTGCCCGTTTACAGTCTGGTGGATGTGATTGCATGTTTCATTTTAACGCAGTGGGCTCACTTCCACTGTCTTCACGAACACAATAAAAGTCGTAGATAATCGTTTTAGAGAATGACGGGCTCTTCTCCCTGCTTTCCTCTGTCTCACTGTCCCCATCACCACTTCCCCGCCGGTCTGACCTACTTATACCACAGCTTTTGGACTGATGGACATGAGTGGAGCTGATCCATGGGAAGGATCACTACTCTGACTAGTGACTGAGCTACATTTAATGTACTCCTTCATTACTTTTGAGGATGGGACTTTTAGTTCAGGTGAAATGGATGTTGCCATTACAGCATACAGGC